AATTTAACACTTATGAGTTATATAACTCTACCAAAATACAATATCTTAATGTATGCTTCAATAGATCTTACATCAAATGTACTAACACAATACCACTGAGAGTGAAGAACACCAAAACTGGTATGAATCCAAGATTTGCACAAAAGAAGAAACATTTCTTATTTACCCCTCGATGAACCGTTATCTATTTTACTACAGCTGATTCAACAAAACACGATAATCATAACTCCAACCAAGACTACCTGAGATTTTTTTTTTTTTTTTCTAAANTAAGTGAACAGAACAACAATACAACAACAACAACAACATACCCAGTATATTCCCAACAGGTTGGGGTCTGGGGGTCAGTTGTACGCAGACCTTACCCTTGTAATTATACAAGGAGGCTGTTTCCGTAGCGACCCAAGGTGCATTGCGCCGTTTGATATATTTTTTTTTCTAGAAACTTCATTAATTGAACAGAACAACAATAACAGCTTAAAATTGTATTGCAAATGCAAAATTATTTTCTGTACCACAAACTCAATTCCTAAATCACATAAAAATTCAAGCTGGCAATTGCAAATGATCAAAGATGAGATTTTTATTTTTTCTTAGAGTGACCAACAACAATAACAACTTAAAATTGTATTACAAATGCAAAAGTATTGTCTGTAGACTCTGTACCACAAACCCCTTTGCTAAATCACATAGAAATTCAACCTGCAGAACAAAAGTGTGCATAATAAATTAACACCGTACGATCGGAAACTGGTGGAGCCATCTTGAGAAGAAGAAGAGGAAACTTTGACGGCGCTATCCAACGGCGGAAATTGCATCTGGTTTATCCTGTTCTGTTCCGCACCAAACATGGTCAAGAAAACACAAAGAGGGAAAACACGAGAGCTAACAAAAGATCAATCAAAACCCAATTACAGATAAAAATAAACAGAGAAATTGATGGTAAATTAAAGAAATTTTCGAAAATTGCTTTAAATTCAAGTCGAAGCAAAAACACCAGGCTTACGGTGGTGGGTGAGAGCGGACGCATCCTGGCACGCATCAAAATCGACAGCGCTTTTTTGTTCTTGCTCATAATTATTCATTTATTCTGTTCAATATTCTGATTTATTTATTTCATTTTATTTTTTTATGACGGTCATTTTTGTCTGGACGTTGGAGCTCGAGGCGGCTCAGTCGCCACCAACCGCTTCCTGGTAAAATGTACGGTGCTTCCAGACGACGTCGTATAGATGGAGTCTATTACCATATGGGCCCATATTGATAAAGCCCAATTATACATTGAACAATACGGTCCAAATACTGAAGTCCATGAGTCCGTGCTAAGCTAACTTAAGATGATGATAGGGATATCAGGCCCAAAACTGAAATTAAGCCCAATAAGAGATAAATGTAATTTGATTTGAAGTGAGCGCCTGAAAAGAACAAGAATCACTCGGTACTCTATGGTTCGTTTTAATAATTGAATGAACTATCTTTTATAGTCTATTCACTAAGTGTCAAGCAATACCTTAAAAGTGCCATTACATCTAACTTATTAGTTGCAATTTGAACCCCTTGTTTTAATATGATTAGCATAATTTTGTATTTGTTGGGTATATCTAGTACAGTTTTGATATGGAGCCATCGCATGGCTCGGCTTATGGAGCCATCCATAGTTATCCACAAATGGTGTATTGACACGTGTCCTGTAATAAATGCACATTGGACACGTGTCAATACCTAACATTATGGATGACTCCATAAGGGAACCATCCGATGGCTCCATAGCATTTCTGATATCTAGTATACCTAATTAATTAGTTAAAGTAATGTTTAAACTGCCAGCCTAAACGTACTCAGATTATATATAAGGAAAGGAAGTTAAAAGATAACCTAAAACGATGTAACCAAATATGAAAAAGACAGCTGCGCAGATTATGGAAGAGAGTAAGTATTAAAGTGTACTGTGTACAGCTAAAATATTCAAACATTGATGCATGATGAAGCACAATATACCTACTACCATAAAGAAAAGGTCCCGCTCTTAATTAATTAATTAATTAATTAATCAATTAATACCAAACCCTTAATTTATTTTCCCTAATTCAAATAATTTTGATGAGTTAACACCTTATGGACCTGTCTATAATAATGTCAGGGGAATTTTAATATCACATTCTAATTCAAGTTAGCTCTTTTTTTTAATAAAATTGGTTTTTATTTTTCCCAAATGTTCATAAAAAATTGACGTGGGTTAAGGGCCACCTTTTGTCTAAAGTCTGAACTCATCATGTGCATGAGACATGAAATATATATAGTATATATATGTAACAAACTAACAATTATAAACTATGATCTAGAGAAACTAATTAATAAAACGAGATTAAGAACTTTAAAAGGTTATTTACTTATAAGCACATTCTCTTAATTAATATTATATAGTACTTTACTTTAATAATAAGGTTGCTAACTATTTAAACATTAGTTTGATGAGTATTTATTGTGATCGGGCCCCATGCATGTAGATAAACTAATTTACATGACAATATTTTCCATGAAATTGACATTATTTTTTCTCAATTACTAGTTTCTATGTCAATATTTTCCATGAAATTGACATCTCTCACACACTTATTTAACAACTTTCTGTTTNTTGTTCAATTATATGACTTGTTTTGATGTTTATGGCAAAGCTTTTGGGTGCGTAATATATTCGAGTGTCATACATTTTTTAATTATATAATACAATGTAAGAACTATCCATCTCTTTTCTTATAAATATGTATGAAAATAATGAAACGTTTAGCAGTTTGATACATAATTTCTCAGAATCACCAAACAAAACTCATTTAATACTTTGAAATCTTTGGAGTTTTATGAGTGTAAGTGTCGAAGTATTTGCTAATTCTATATGCCAATTTGTTCCCAATTATATGTGTCAACTTTCTATGCTTTAATATCGCACATGTAGATCTTATCTTTTATCCATATTTAGTACTTTTAAAATTATAAACCACATGTTATCAATGTAAACTATAAATATATGCTAAATACTAGTACTTTTTTATTTGTTATTAATTTTACATGTATAATATATTAAATTAATAATCTTTTTGATGGTTTTTTGATTGACATACTTATTGCATAAATGAAATACTATCTTTTAATGACGTCTTATATTCATTTTTCATAAATAAATAAATAAATATATTTTACCTTTTTAATTAAATAAAAATATATATGAATCCTATTTAAAAATAACAGATTTAGTATCGATGTGCTAAAATAATTTATATTTCAAATGAAACGAGATATAAAATATTGATAAGAAATATTATATAAATCTAGTTAGGAAAACTAATATAGCCCAATACTAGCGAGTCTTACGGGCACGAATGTTATTTTAAATAAAATATAATACATTTTTATTATTAAAAAAATTAAATCCAATACCTATTGCTATTTTTATTTAATAGTTATTATGTATAAATTTATTTACTAATACTAGTAAACATGAACATAGTGTAAAGAATTTAGCACCAACTATTATGATGTGGTATATGCGAGTGTGATTATGGATTTTGAGTAAATAATGTATACATAGTGTAAATAATGTATACAATGTATACAATGTCATTTTAAATAAAACATAAGATATAACCAAGGTTGTCAAAACTGGACCGGTCATCGAACCGGTCAAGCTACTGGTTCAATGGTTCATTGGTCCGACCAATGGTTGAACCGGTTGGACCGTAATTTAATTTATTGAATTTTTAAATATATATATATATATATATATATATTTATATACATCCTATATAGGGGNTAATACTTTATAAATATTAAATATAGTTGACTTATTTTGTAAAAGGTTGGTCCCACCAATATATAGATTAAGCAATAAAATGATAGTATAAAAATATGAAAAAAAAAATATTCCTCACCTACGGATAGGGATTTTTATTCTTGTTTTGAAAAAAAATATATAAACATCATTCGCTCTTGGAGAGTGACACTCCAAGAATCGATTTGTAAATAGTTTTTTAGGATAATTTTATTCGTTTTTTTTTTTCTCTCATGCTTGGATTGTTGGAAACAAAGACATCGGGATAGAAAGTTTGCAAGTCTTAATTCGATTGTAAGTTTTCAATTCTATCTGATTAACATAGAATTGAATCCAAGAATGAGGTAATCCATTCACCTAGGGTTAGGGATTTTTATTCTTGTTTTGAATTGCGTTGAATGTATTTTGATCAATCTATACGAGTTGTTTTAGGATTCGTCGATTGTTCATTTGCTAGGAAAACGACCTTTAGAACCGAAAGGGGACGGGTGTTGAACCTAGGCTCGTATGAGGTGAACGCTTTTTTCGGGTCGATCTCTCGAGGAACGCGGTTCGGAATCCAGAGCTGTTGTTGACCGCACATAAAAGAAAATAAGTCCTAATATTTTAATCACGATTGATTTGAAGAATAAACTAAAATTAACTTGAACTAGAAAGCAAATAAAAGAAATAACAATTAAATTTCTAGAGAATTAGAAGAAGTTTTAGGGGTCGGAAAATCTCCTCCAGTGATCTTAAACTATGTTGAACGCTTATTTGTTCGGTTACATGATTCAACAAGCCTACACATCTAGAGGTTTATGCTCAATAACTTTTCGTAACAAAAGCACGCACATAAACGACAAACTCATTCTAAAAACGAAAAATAAAAAAGCGGAGAAATTATCCTAAAATACTATTTACAAATCGATTCTTGGAGTGTCACCCTCCAAGCTCGAATGATGTTTTCAATCAAGCAAGAATTTTATTTTTTCTAAAAGTTAAGTCAATTCTATATCAAAAATACATATGTACATATGTATTTTTGTACACACATATATATATATATATGTATATATATATATAGGGACTGGTTCAAATAAAAATTAATCTTGGTGTGAGAATCATAGTTGATGTTATTTTTAATTATGTATGATGCTATTTTCAATAATACACGATGATGTCCTTTTCACAGATATTGATATAAATTGTGTTGTTATTTTTAATAAAATACATTCTAGTTAAAAATAGCACTAAAACATAGTCAATCATAGCACTTTATACAATTAAAAATATCAGTTCTCACGCTAGAACTTAGTTCTCATGAACCGCATCCTCTATATATATAATAAAATAGTAAATGGAGTAAGTCGACTTAATAAATAGAACTAAATTAATTCAAAAAAAAAGTGATATATATTTTTATTTTATCTACACTACTTATATTACAATTTATAATGAACTTTACTCAATATATATATTTTTTTTCTTTGTCATGTAGATAATAGGATTGATCTCTCTCTATTTTATTTTGCATTTAAATGTATTAAATGTGACAGTGATGACACCATTTTACATGCATGCTTTCGCATATAAAGTAAAACAAAACACCTATTTTCAAGATTTTATTTAATTTGATGCTTTATTTATCAACAAAAGATGAGGCCATTTTTGAGTGGATTTATGATAGAAACTAGACAGCTAAGAGTTGTAATAAATTTCTACCAAACTTGCATTTAGGTTTTCTACAGTATTTTCAATTTTGTGTCAACACGAGCGAGTCTATTGGTCAAATACCGATATATTAACCATCAATTACGCAATAACATCAAGATTCTTACCAAGTTTTTTCAAGAGGCATCAATTTTTTTTTTTTTTTTCCCAAATATTTGCTAGATTCCAGAAAGATTAAAAAAAACGCGTATTAGAATTATTATTTTCCTGATTTTGGTATATTATGGTCACTTTGCAAACATACGTGACACTTGTAATACATTATGTACACCAAGTATGAGTTGGTGTTGGGATAATATTGGAAAAAATATCCACAATTATAAGTAATTTCAAAATAGTCCAATTAGAATGCATTTTCTCAATAATAGTTAAGTAACCTGTAAAAATAGTAGTTTCTCAATAATAGTAGTCCTATACTGAAATGCAGATTTTCAAAAGTATTCTCATTGAAAAATAATAATAATTATTTTTGTTGGAATTCTACGTGTATCGTCAAAAAATGATATTACCTCCTATTCTTTTTAGTAAAACAAATAAATACTTTAGTAAGTATTTAATGTATATACTAAATAGGAATATATTTGGTATAATCAAATATCAAATCTAATCAAATAAGTCAAAGTGTACATTTTTATTTTGTATTTGATTTTTTTATTATGAAAATCTTTTTATTATATTTACCTTTTTAAAATAAAATAAACAAATAAATTAATTAAATAAATAAAATATTATAATACCAAAATAGTAATGACGTTTAATACAGTTGACTTTTCTGAATAGTAAATGTAGTAAATAGAATCTCTTTTTATATAAGTATAGATTGTATAACGGAAATAGTAATGCAATAACTGTTGTTGACTTTTCTTTATACTAAATCTGGTAAATGGTATACCTTTTAACATAAGTATAGATTATGCGACCATAAAATCAAGGTTTTGCATTGTCTATAACAAGCTTTAAATCAAAAGAAA